GTTTCCATCCAGTTTTTCTGGATCCCTGGCCACGTCGGTATTCATGGGAACGAGCTTGCTGACACCACAGCTAAGTCCGTCTGATCTGGTGCCTAATGGCCGTGCCTGTCCCATACATGGACTATGGTCCTGTCTTCAATGCGCGGCTTCGCGCCAGTTGGAAGTCACCTTGGGGCGAGCAACGTCATAACAAGCTTTTCCAGATCAAACCTTCTGTTGCTCTTTGGCCGTCTTGCTTCCGTAAGGATCGGAAGGAGGAAGTAGTCCTGGCAAGGTTACGCATTGGTCACAGTTTTTAACCCATCGTTTTCTTTTATCAGGTATTGACCCACCGATGTGTGGCCATTGTGACACACAAGTCACAAGAGCCCACGTTTTACTGTTGTGCCGTCGTTACGAAGGTGAGGGGCAGCACCATTTTAGACACGTGTTTTCTAAGAGTTTACCCCAGACGTTGGACAGTGTTATTGGTAATGGTGACACTGTCCGATTATATTGTATTTTTAATTTTTTATGCACTACAGTTCTTTTTAATTGTATATAAATCTTTTATCGACATATATATATTGGTTTTGGCTCGCTGTATTTTTACATTTTACTTTAATTTACTTTCACTGTTTTTACCGGTTGTTTGGCGCAGATAGCCTCGTTGCTTTGCGCCATAAAGCACCAAACAACAACAACAGTATTTATTTTGTCAATAAAGTCTTTCTCTGCCAACCTCTTTTCTCTTTTGGTAAAGTTATATCTATTCACACTTATCGTACACTTTCTAATAATCTACTGTTAATTGTGATCCTGATTAACTTACCTGACGGTTCAGTTTAAGCTGAGAATACCACATAGTAATGATTATACATATCATAATAAGAAAGTAGGTTTGACTGGTAAAAGCAAGTACTGATCTTTTCAGCGCAGATAGCCCTCGTGTAGCTTTGCGCGAAATTCAAAAACAAAACAAACAAACTGATCTTTTCATCGAAGTTGTTTGTAATGTATATTTAATATTTAATCTATCATTTATAAAGTACTTACGTATTTATAGTGAGTATTACTAATTATGACATAGTTATGTTATTATGTTAATAATATTGGTTGTAAAAGACAAAATCAAAGAAATTACAAAGATACAACTCGATAAAAAAAATTATACTTTTATATATATATATATATGCACATGTTACAAACTTTTCTCCTGCTTACAACTTTGATGGATATACTATTATTAAACGTAGAATTTTTATATTAGCTGATTACGTTTTTTAAAGTTTCAGCCACGTTGCAAAATTAAATATATATATATATATATTTAACTCATGACAGCACCAGGATTTTTCAAAGTTCATCATACACATGTGAATTTGTCTGATAATCAGAGGCGAGTTCTTCTTCTGGAATTCCCCAGTCAGTATGGGCATTTTCAGCATACTGGGCTGTGTTGTTTATCAACCACATTCCATATTTCAGATTTTTCGCTGTTCCTTCCACTGGAGTTCCAAAGAGAGAATTGCTCATATCTGCATCAAAATGTGGTTCTAAAAAAAATGGCACAGAATATCTGCTAATTCCTAGATCAATAACTCGGTGAATTGTTGGCTTAAACCTTCCCTCAGTAAGTTTAGCAATATTTAGTCCTATGTTAACTATAAGAGCATTCTTTAGAGGAGGGATATTTATCCAGTTGTTATTTGAGCCTTGTATTTGCAGTCCACTGTAATGAAAAGTCGATAGAAAAGTAAAAAACCCAGAATCAGCATGTTTATCACATTGTAAAACAACGTTGCCATCTGTGGCCGATTTGGGGGTATGTTGCAATGGACGCGGGGGGTAATGGATTAGACGTAGAGTCGACAATGGATTCGACTCAAACATTGATGTTAAATGAGATTTTTTTAATCCAAGGCCTAATTCTACAAGACGTAATACATCTAGAGATAGTCGATGGTAAACCCCAAAAAAAGTCTCCATCGATATCCTAAAATTTGTAGATGCAACTGGATCAGAAGAATTGGGCCAAACATTACCTTCATACAGAGTATCTCGAACCGTTCTTACCTTGTTCCGTTTTGTGATGTTGTTAAAACCACCAATTTCAAATCCTTCTTTGTACGACGTCCATTCAGGAATGACGGGAAAAAAGCCACGATATATAATGTTGTTGTTGGCTTTATTCCAAACATGCCGAGTGACCTGGCGTTTCACATCAACCGGTAAATTAAAGAACCATTTAGTGAGATTAAACAAGCTATCTTCATTATAGTCTGGGATGTTCTTTATATACATAAACCCCACAGTTTCCATAGCTTCAATAATTTGAGCGGAAACTTTCTGTGGTTTATCCTGTGCCTCCTCCATGTCGATTACAGCTAAAGGAAGAAGATCTTCTGATAGCGTTTGGAACGATTCTGTCTTTTCCATGTTTGGGGCTACCTCCGGTGTGCAGATTGTATTTCCAGGACAAAATTCGTAAACAGACTTTGTTTTAGAATCAAACACTGCATATCTACCACTCCAAACACTTGTAGAAGTCAAAAGAAAGAAAACGGGGATCACTAAAGTCCTTAACATATGCGGCGACATCCTATCAAATTAATAAGCTAGCTCAACGTATCTAAAACCCGACAGTTCATAACAGTCGGAGATAAAACATCAAACTTATATACATTTATTATCCGCTAGGTGTCAGCACATTCGCAAACTTTTTTTTTGTTGTTGTTGCTGTTTTTAATTCTTGATTCTGTTAAACTATAAAAATAATTAGTTTTTCATTAGGTACATGAGCTCAATATTAAATTTTAAAACACAACCTGAATCTGACTAGACTACTTACAAAGCCCCCACTGGCACAGTGGTATGTCTGCGGACTTATACTGCTAGAAACCGGGTTTCGATACCAGCACAGAAACTCTTTGTGTAAATTTGTGTTTATCATTTGATTCACTACTTATCACTGATTTCAGGGAACTCCGCCCCTCATCAGTAACCTCGAACAAAGGTAAATCACAAGAACAAACCTAGGCTTCATATAGTAGTGCAGCGTATATTATAAGAAACTGTTCTATATCAAGGACAACCATAACGTAAATAACTCTGCGCGTAATTGATTTCGTTCTTGTAAGTTTAAGTACCTTTCCCGATTTTTAGTACTATATATATATATTTTAACTAACAAACTTGAGATGTGATAAGCTTTCTCGCTTAAGTATTATAAAAGCAACATTGACCGAAATTACAGAAAAAAATATTAGTGAAATTAATCCATATATATATTCAAAAATACACTTTAATTCCTTTTTTAAACTTAGTTATATGTCATAAAGAATTTATAAGTATAATTTTCCTGAAGTTTTTTGTTCATGCGATATACGATGAATTAAAAATATATTTCACTTCTACATATCTTTTTCGCCCAATTGTCCCCCGGTGGAACAGCAGTAAGTTTACGGTATTACAATTCTAAAATCCGGGGTTCGATTCCCCAAAGTGAGCAAAGCAAATAGCCCAATGCATAATTCACAAGAAGTTAATATTTATTATTTACAGATCTAAGATTTTTCAGTTAAAAACTTCCACAATTGACGTCACTGCAATTACATCGTCAGGAGCTTAAACATGAGTACCCATAGAAACCTCAAATGATGACTTTACAGATAACAACAATGGTGCGAATTACACAGTCGTTGTAGATTATGAACCCTGGTATTAACGAAAGGTCTCGTCGGCACTGGATATGGTAGATATAGTGTAACTGACATAACACATTCTTCTTTATTTTTATTCATAAGTTCTTAGCATTTATTATAATACAACATTACCAAAAACATTATCTAATCAATTATACTATAGAATTATAAATACCTACTGCGGGCTCAGTTATTTAAAGGAAATTGTTTTAAAACATTCTTAGCATTCCAGCTAAAGATTAATCTATTATTTCATTTAAAGTTTTTCTTTTCTACACTCTTTATGCATTATATAATTAATACTTGAAACTGTTGTTACTTAGTGAAAATCCATAATTACGGAATTGAAGAAAACACGAACAATTGTGCGTTTCACAAATATTTCATTTATTACGATCATGGTTTCGAGAGTAAAGCTTTTACTGACGATACCATGGTCGTAATAAATGAAGTACATTATCCAACCAAAAATCATGAGAAACACCTCTGATTGCAGGAAAATGGGTGTGACAAGAAATATGCAAATACTTTGGCCTATAAAGGTGATCAACGTTTTGCTCGAAAACCATTTCGAATTTGTACATCAAACGATGAGTACACGGAAGGAGTTAACAGAGTTTCAGAGGAGAAGGTTAATTGGATGTCATTTGGTGAAACTGTCTGCACGTGCTATTGTGTAACAATTAAACATTCCCAGGTCTACAGTTGGTAACGTGCTGAAGAAATGGAAGTCCACAGGTGACAATGAGCTCAAGAAACGACCAGATAGGCATAAAATACTGACTGACAGGAGCCGACGCGCCTTGAGAAGGCTGGTTATCTCATCTCGCCGTCAGACCATAGAGAATCTGCGTTTGGAGATGCAAGCAGCTACAAGTAATCCTATAAGTGTTTCCACAACACGTCGAGAACTACATGGTATGAATTTTCACGGAAGAGCTGCAGTCGGCCAGACGTTGTTAACAAAAACAAATGCACACCATTGATTGGCATGGGGCAAGACACACCGAACCCGGACCGTGGATCAATGGAAATCGGTCCTGTGAAGAGACGAGTCACGCTACACGCTCTTCCAGTCTGATGGACGTGTTTGGGTATGGAGGATGGCTGGAGAACGCTTACTACGCTAGTGTGTTGTCCCGACAGTGAAGTTTGGAGGTGACAGTATCAAGGTCTGTGGGTGCTTCTGGTGGTATGGACTAAGTCCACTGGTCGCAGTGCATGGATCCATGAATGCTGAGTCCTAAATTGATGTTCTGAACAATTCTGTGTGTCCTACAATGTGAAAATTTTATGGTACCGACCTTTACACCCTCCAACATGATAACGCTCCATGTCACAAAGTAAGCATTTGTGAATGCGTGGTTTGAAGAGAATAAGATCGGAACATTGCAGTGGCCAGCACAGAGCCCCGACCTCAACCCGATAGAACATATTTGGGATGAACTGGAACGAAGAATTAGGGCAAGACCAAGTCGGCCCTCTTCAGTAGTAGAACTTAGAAAATTTAAGTTTAAAGGAGGAGTGGCGAACGTTACCACCAGCTTTCTATCAGAATTTGGCAGACAGTTTCCGCGATGCATTGAAGCAGTCATTAAGGCCAAAGGGGGGGGGGGGTCGAACACGCTATTAATTTCTTGGAATAAAGACATATTTTATTCATAACTACCCGTTTTCCATGACCTTTAGTAGAATAGTGTATTTGTGAAACGCACGATTGTCCTTGTTTTCTTCAATTCCTTTATGCATTGTGTTTATATCGCAGCACTGATAAAGTTTTATTTGTCTTGTTCTTTCTTTCAATATTAGATTGAACTTAACAAAAAAGCATTTTATTGGTTTACAATTTGTTTTATTTGTATTATGTTTTTCATGTCTGCATAAAGATATACCAATTGTTATAAATTTGTCTGCTTATTTGCTTTTGAATTTCGCGCTAAACTACTTGAGGGTATCTGCACTAGCCGTCCCTAATTTTGAAGTGATAGAGTAAAAAGAAGGCAGCTAGTTAACATTACCCATCGCCAACTCTTGAGCTACTCTAATCAACAAATAGTGGGACTTACTAACACATTATAATGCTCATACGGCCTATAGAACGAGCTTGTTCGGTGACATGTCTGTTACATTGATTTGTGAATGTTTTTATTGATACTGCACGAAATGATTTTGTTTAAATCTAGTGTAAGAACTCTGAAATATTTATGCTTCGTTTTCGGGAGGGAACTTAAAAATTACAAAGATACAAACGTTTTTTACTATATGCAATCCCTGTCTCTACCGGAAACTGAAGAACATTCATATATACTGTAAAGTATGTTGATAGTGCAACTAAATTTTGTAGATTTTTTCATAAACCGCATCACAAATTTACACAGAATTGCTTCAGATGTTTCTCGCGATCACTAAAAGAATATTTATAAAATATAATGCACGGATATTCTAAGTTACAAAACAGGTAGCTGCTTAAATGTTCTGAGCGTTTTACTAAATAAACAAACAGACAGATAGATTATCTGAGTACAACGATATCAATAGATAATATAGTATAACATATATATATATACAACACTATGCATTGTAATTCACTAGTTTATCAGAGTTCCTGGGGTTTTTGCTAGCGTTTGTGTTTTTTATCAAAACATAAATTTGTCTCACAACGGATAGCGGTTCTATTGAAATATCGTCCTCCCAGGTTATAAAAGGTTAAAAATAAATCTACAAAGAACCAAAAACTAGTAATCTATGTATTTATATTTCATGTTCCAATTAGATTGAAAAAAAAGTTAAACCTTTAAAACAAACAAAAAACTACTTGTTTGGTACAAGAACTGTTCATATGTCTAGATCTTAAAGTCTTCAAATGGTTCATTCTCTGCTAAAATCGATATCGTAACCATAACATTCTTGCTAATCTTAGTATTCATAGTATTCTGCCTTTATGATAAACAATTTGTGTAAGAAATGTGGGTGTACTTCTTAAATCAGATGTTATCTAACATGTTCTGAGATTTTCAAGCGAAGTTTCACTCAAATCTTTGATTTTATGAGCATATCCGTTTTTGTCCTAGAATTCTTTGGATTCCTTGGGGTGGGGGGGAATCTCCTTAACACACCCAAGTATGAGATTTTCGCTGGTTTCTCCAATCAAGGTGTTGTACGACGAATCTCCACTCTTAAGAATGGAATATTTAAAGCGACTCGAGTTTTGATTTTGATGTTTACATCATCACATCCGCCTTCCAAAGTCAAGGTAATTTATCTGAACTGTATGGATAGAGAATAATGAAGTACAGAAGGGGAGGGAGATGGCAGCCAAATGGAGTTGCGTTAATACATTCTGTTCCACAGGTACACAAGTCTTTTTGTCGTACCAACAGTCTTTCTCCAGACATTTCAAGGATATCCTTGCCCTCCGTGTACAAATATGTAGAAGTCAACATCTACTTCTATCTGTATCTACTAGTGACAACAGTGAGAGATCCATTTCATTGGACCCATTGTGCAGGACTGTTAAAAGATCCCAACTATGCTCATTTTAATCTGCTCCATCTGATGGGGACTTACCTCTGTGATCCCAGGCAGGGTTCATGGAGGTCAACCAACCTCTTACTAATAAAACTAAAAACTAATTGTATAACAAAACAAAAAAAACTCCCCAAATAGATCTCCTCAAACTCTAGGGGAAAACAACCACACAGCTACAGTAGAACTGTCAAGGTTTTCATTCTAATTTGGATGACATTATCCTGTGTATATCTCCTTACAGAGACATTCCTGAAAACTGCCGATACTGTTACCATTCAGAAGTTTTCTTTACACAAGATAGACAGATTACTGACAGTCTGGTTCATGAGGATATAGCTTTGTTGATTGATCAACATACTCTCTTTATAT